TTTAACACTTCCATATAATATTCCAATGGTTTTTTGTTGTCGTAAAAACACAGTATCAATTTGTAACTATCTGTAGCTGGCGATGTAAGTATGTGTGTGTGTGTCCACATATTTATATTTACATTGTAAGTAAGCAAAAGCCTGTTTCTTTCGCTCAACCCAAAACAACAACAACAAAAAGTAAAAGTAAATTAAACAACAACAACTCACCTGTCCACCGAGATGCAACACAAATGCAAAATACTGGCTGTCGAAAAGTAAACATCCAGACTGTTGTAAACATTACACATGAACGGTCCGAACATCCATTTGCCACCGGACAGCTCCACAGACGCATTAAATGTCATTGCACAGAGGGCAACAGAAGATGAAAAGGATGTAATGAAAAAATAAACAGGATTGATAACTTTTGATATGCAGATGATGATGATGATGACGATGTTGATGCTGCTGACGAAGAATCTGGACAATGTAAAGAACAAAATATATTACAAATTCTTTTTGTTGTGACAATGGCACAAAATAAATTGAAGTGAAAGGTGGCGAGAAATGCAAAAGAAATTGTTGAGCAAAGGTATGCGAAATGTCATTCTTGTGGACATGATTATTCATATTTTTAAAACCAAATATTGGATGGACAACATTGAGACATAAATAATTCATTTCAGAATATTTTCTGAAAAAAACTAAATTTTTAACAAAACATTGACATCGTTTAGAAAGATCTTAGAAGATCCAAAGGGCTATAACATGGTTTTACGGTTACGAAGGGGAACAAAATCTCAATCGTCAGACTAACTTCCCTTTTTTCTTACTCTCTAAGATCATTTACACATAAGAAGGATTCTCACCATGACGTACCACCATGTGTTATGTTGTTCAAAGTTACATGAAAAATCGATTTGCAAAAGGCTGGAGATTTATACTCCTTTTAGCTCGTCTATATAGACTCTCTTCAAATCGATAACACTCATGATCTTCGGATCTTATATAGTCTTTTATAGCAGTCTCCCTTCATCTCATCCATAAAATACTCTTTGGCCTCCAAAACGTCTATAAAGAGTCTCCTAGATCTTCATTTCGACTCTAAGATACTCACTGTCTGTAGACGACTCTTAGTCTTTCAGATCGCCTACCAGACACTTTGATCGATTATAGAAAACCCCATACCGATAATGAACGTCTATAGAATACTACCTACTCTATATAGACTCCCTTCAGAACGTACATCAGCTCGTCTATAGGATACTCTCTTCAGCTCGTCTATAGAAGACTCACATCAGCTCGTTTATAGAAGACTCCCATCAACTCGTCTATAGAAGACGCCCTTCTACTCGTCTATAGAAGACTCCCATCACATCGTCTATTGAGACTCCGATCAGTTCGTCTACAAAAGACTCCCATCACATCGTCTATTGAGTCTGTAGAAGACTACTTTAAGTTCGCCTATAGAAAACCACCTTAAGTACCTTGTGCTTGTCTATAGAAGACGTCCTTGTGCTTGTCTATAGAAGACGCCCTTCAGCTCGTCTATAGAGACCCCCATCAGTTCTTATTTGGAGACTCCCTTCAGCTCGTCTATAGAAGACGCCCTTCAGCTCGTCTATAGAAAACGCCCTTCAGCTCGTCTATAGAAGAATCCCTTCATCACGGAATACTCTTTTCATGTTGTCTATAGAATACTTCCTTCAGCTTGTCTATAGAAGGCTCTCTTCACCTCGATTATAGAAGACGTCCTGCTGCTCATCTATAGAAAATTTTCTTCAGCTGGATTATGGAAGACTCCTTTCAGGACGTCTATAGAAGACTCCCTTCATCTCGCCTATAGAAGGCTCCCACCACCTCGCCTATCCAGCACGTCTATAGAAGACAACTTTCAGAAGACTCCCTTCAGCCCCTTTATAAAGGAATCCCGTCAGTGTCTTTAAAAGACACCCTTCAGCTCGTATATGGAAGACGCCCTTCGGCTCGTCTATGGAAGAATCCCTTCATCTCGGAATACTCCTTTCATCTCGTCCATAGAAGACTTCCTTCAGCTCGTTTATAGAAGACTCCCTTCAGTTCGTTTATAGAAGACTCCCTTCAGCTCGTTTATAAAGACAACCTTCAGCTCGTCGATAAAGCCTCCCATCAGTTCATCTGAAGACTCCTTGCTATAGAAGACTCCCATCAGCTCTTCTATAATAAAATTCCTTCAGCTCTTCTATAAAAAATTCCTTCAGCACTTCTATAGAAAACTTCCTTCAGCTCTTCTATTGAAAACTTCCATCAGTTCGTCTATAGAAGACAGATCGTCTACAGAAGACACCCTCCAAGGGCTTTCACAGGTTGTCTACTTCAGCTCGTCTTTAGAAGACGCCTTCACCTCGTCTATATAGAATCCCATCAGTCTATAGAGGATTTCCTTCCATAGAGGGTCTCTTCAGTTCGTCTTTAGAAGAATCCTTTCTGCTCGTCAATAAAAACTCCCTTCAGTTCGTCTAAAATTTTATAGAAGGTCCCCTGTTCATCATCTCGTCTATTCAATACTTCCAACCCTTCAGTTCAGATATAGCACCCTCATTGCCTTGTTTTTTTTTCTTTATAGACAATTTTTTGCTCTTCAGCTAATATATGGAAGACTCGCTGCCCTTCAGAATTTATATAGAAGATTCTATGACAGTTTACTCGTCTCTAGAAGAATCTATGTCATTCGTATCGACTGTAAAATAATTCTTCCCCTCAGATCATTTGTAGAAGATCCCCTGCCCTTCTACTCATCAGTTCGTCGATACATTGTCCTACAGGTTCTTTTCATAAGATTCTGTAGAAAAATGGGAACAAAATTAAGTCGACTTTAAATCTTTCTCACAAAAATGTTCCCTTAATAGTTTGGTGGCAATGCGGTGTTTTGAAATAGTAAAAATAGATCTCATTTCAATGACTCTTAGTACGCATAATGACAAAATCTTATCATAGTATTCTCTTCATCATTTAACTAATCCCAGAAAATTGTCAACCTCTTCAACTAGATTTCATCCAGATGGTGGTATTGACACCAACACCGAATAAATCCACTATTCCCAGTTGACGATGGCCATGATTGTCGTCGTAAAGTAGAATTTGAGTAGTTTCGATTTTTTTGCAAGTACATTCGCAGTGTCTTTCTGTTCATTCCGGTATTTGGAAAAGGCAGTTATATTTATGTCATCCACTCAAACACTTGACGGAAATGTTGAACAATTGGATTCGTTTATAGACAATGGCACAAACACGAAGACACAGACATACACTCCCACGCATAGGGAAACAGAATATCCAGCGAAGTGTGTCAACATCAGTTTGCAGTGAAAGCATAAAAAACCCGGGATATGCAAAAAAACCCTCGGACAGCAGGACCACTACAATAATGTAACATAACCTATAAATGGTAGTTATTGACATTACATTGACGGTGTAGTTTTTACATTTATGTGAATTTCCTTGTTAGTATCATCATTGTTTGGCATAGTCAGCGAGAGAGAGAGAGAGAGTGACCAGAGTTCCATTGGACTACTTTTTTGTGTGAGACAGAACTTCGACACATTTTTATGGATTTTTTCGATTAATAGAGGGAAAGCATGGGATATCTTAGTTTTTTCTATAAAATGGAGAACTATAGAAAATTAATTCAAATGACAGACTGGTTACAGGTGAGTATTGACCACATATTTTGAAGGCAAAAACGAGATATCAATCTCCAAAGTAAAAAATATTCCAATTGGAAAACTGAGATTATTTTTCATTAAACATTCTATGTATGTTTAGGTACAGGAAGCTGGCATATTTTTAATGGGAATTATATACAAGAGCTTAATGCAGGGGCAGGGAATCCTCTATAGACGAGCTGAAGAGTATGGTGTCTTCTAGAAGCAGTGAGTTTTTATAAAAGAGCTGAAGGGCAGGGTGTCTTCTAAAGTCTAATAAAAGACATTGAGTTTTATACAGACGAGTTTATGTGTCTTCTTTAAAGGCTGCCTTCGAGTGCAGCCTCTAAAGAAGACCTGAAACTATTATTTATCTGTCTCTACAAACTAGCTGAAGGGTACGGAGTTTACTTTAGACAAGCCAAAGATAGTCTTCTTTACAGCTCTATGGACGAGCTTAAGGGAGTCTATATAAACGAGTTGAAGGGAGTCTCTTTAAACGAGCTGATGGGAGTCTCTATAGACGAGCTGAAGGGTGTCTTTATAGACGAGTTTCTATGGACGAGATGAAGGAAGTCACTATAGACTAATTTAAGGAGGTCTTTCAGAGACGAGCTGAAGGGATGATGGTTGTATTTATAGAAGAGCGGAAGTGAGTCTCTATTGAGAAGCTGAAGGGGTCTTCTATAAAAGAATTGAAGGGAGTATTATCAGACGAGCTAAAAGGCTTCTTATATTGACGAGCTGAAGGCAGACTTCTATAGACGATCTGAAGGTAGTCTTCTACAGACGATCTGAAAGCAGTCTTCTGTAGACGAGCTGAAGGCAGTCTTCATTAGACGAGCAGAAGGCAGTATTCTATAGACGAGCTGAAGGGAGTCTTCTATAGACGAGATGAAGGGAGTATTGTCAGACGAGCTAAAAGGCGTCTTCTATAGACGAGCTGAAGGCAGTCTTCTATAGACTGAAGGGAGTTGAAGGGAGTATTGTCAGACGAATTCTTCTATAGATGAGCTGAATGGAGTTTTTCATAGACGAGCTGAAGGGAGGCTTCCATAGACGAGCTGAAGGGAGTATTGTCAGACGAAGGCAGCTAAAAGGCTTCTTATTTTCTACAGACGAGCTGGACGAGCTGAAGGGATAGACGAGCTGAAGGGAGTCTTCTAATGAGCTGAAAGGCTTTCCATAGACGAGCTGAAGGCATACTTCTATTGACGAGCTGAAGATAGTCTTCTTCTATAGACGAGCTGAAGGGAGTCTCTTCTATAGACGAGCTGAAGGGAGTATTGTCAGACGAGCTGAAGGGATCTTCCATAGACGAGCTGAAGGCTGAAGTCTTCTATAAAAGAATTGAAGGGAGTCTTCTAAGAAGAATTGAAGGGAGTATTGTCAGACGAGCTAAAAGGCGTCTTATATAGACGAGCTGAAGGCAGACTTCTATAGACGATCTGAAGATAGTCTTCTTCAGACGAGCTGAAAGCAGTCTTCTATAGACGAGCAGAAGGCAGTTTTCTACAGACGAGCTGGAATATCTATTGAGCTGAAGGGAGTCTTCTATCGACGAGCTGAAGGGAGTATTGCAAGACGTGCTAAAAGGCGTCTTCTATAGACGAGCTGAAGGGAGTCTTCTATAAAAGAATTGAAGGGAGTATTGACAGACGAGCTAAAAGGCTTTTTATATGGACGAGCTGAAGGCATACTTCTATTGACGATCTGAAGATAGTCTTCTACAGATGAGCTGAAAGCAGTCTTCTGTAGACGAGCTGAAGGCAGTCTTCTATAGACGAGCAGAAGGCA